CAGCTCAGGGCGTGATTCTGGAGTCCCGGAATCGAGTCCTGCATCGGGCTTCCTGCATGGAGCCTGCTTCTTCCTCTGCCTGTGTCTCTACCTCTCTCTCTGTGTCTTTCATGAATAAATAAATAAAACCTTAAAAAAAAAAAGACAAGTTAAAACAATTCTCAAGATACGGCAAGTGGGTTGGAGATGGGGGACCACTTATATTTTTCTAAATACCATTTCTAAAAGAAATAAATTTTTTTTGTCATTTAGATCATTAATATCCATATGCTAATATTCTATAAACAAACTTGTATATACGGTCTTCGTTCCCAACAAGACTTGCCAACTCTGCCTTGAAATTTGTGGGAGTCTCCAGAACCTCTAAAATTTGACTCCCAAATGGCAGTTTTCAACCACTGGGAATAAATGTGTGTAGTCATTGTACACCATCTTGTGGTGATGTATAGAAATGCATCTATTAGGAGTCCTTGAATTAAGAAACAAGGCAATTCCTTATCCCTTATTGCAAAACAACCTACAAGGCATTTCCTCCTAGTCTACCCATCCCCAAGTCCTATGATTTCTTCCCTATGTAAATTAAGTGTATTATTTGGGGGAGAATTAAGATAGCTAGTATAACTAGGGAAGCAGGGTGTTGAGAGATCAGGCTCTGGAATTAGACGACCTTAGTTAGAATCTCAGTTTTGCTATTTATCTGGATAGTCTGATTATCTGGAAGGAAGAAAAAATATAAGAGAGAAAGGGAAATCTAGGAGTGTGATAACTGACTTATAAGTGTTCCAGAAAGAGAGAACAAACAAATCAGAAAAAATAATTTAAGAAAATTTTCTACACTTGGAGATACAGATTTGCACGTCAAAAAGGCTTACTCAGTGCTAGTTAGGATGAATGAAAGAATATCTACAAAGGAGGAGTAACTGCAACATTTCAGAATATCATGGATAAAGAGAAATTAATAAATGCTTCCAAGGAACAAAAATTGAAATTTTGTTAATCTTTATTAGCAACACTGGATGGTAGAAGACAATAGTCTTAAAAGTTTAGGGAAAAATGATTTTCAACTCTGTGTTCTATACCCAGCCAAACTATTAAGTGTGAAAGTAAAATAATCTTAATACATTCAAAGATTTAGAAAGTTCAACTCACACGTATCTTTTCTGAGGCAGTTGCTTGAGGATGAGCAAAATATAACAAAGTTAACCAAGAAAGAAAAAATCAAAGATCCTGAGAATAGTGGATTGACTCAAGAAGCCTAATGAAAGGAAATTTGGGATAACAGCTATAGGAAGGCCTACATTGCATTAGGAGGAAGATGGAGGGCTCAAGAAAGGAGTTATCTATGAACGGAGAATAAATATGTGGTGTCTCCAATATTTGTTTTTGTCTCTGAAATATCAAATACACTTAAATTTAAGATAGATATTGCTACACTAAAGGAAAGGCAGTAAAACTACAGGGAAAACAATATGCTGCTCAAGAAAGAAAAGTGCTTCACTTGATTCTGTATTAAAAATATTTTTACCTGCTGTTTAGCTCTCAAGTCAGCCCATTCTCTGACTCTACTACTATCACCACTCTAGATTGAGTTACCTTTTTTTTTTTGCCTAGACTCTTTTGGTAGCCCTTTTTCAAAATGCAAGTTTAATTATGTTCCTTTCTTGATTAAATCACTGTAGTGGTTTTAGAATAAAACCTAGGTCTTGGAATAAAAGATCCAAATCATTAACATCCCATACTGTCATGTGGTCAGTCAGTTCCTGCAATGGGACGGCAGCTGCTAGATAGTCTTGCCTCACCTCTGTAGAATTGTCTGGTAAGGACACAAGAAACCTAAATGGATCTCGATAGTTTATAACTTTCATAGACAGCAAAACAAGATCAACATGTTATCAGTTGTTTGCATTTCTAATCTCACAGGATGACACTGAACTGGAAGGGCCAGATAACACAAATGGTGGGTTGTTTTGTTTTTGAAACATTAGCTCTAGGCTGCAGTTAAGTGACTTTATAGCCTGCATTTGGAAGGGGCAAGGTAGAAAATCCAGTGCCTTACTGGAACCAGAGGCAGATGAGAGACTACTTCAAGGCGGTCTTATGCCAGATAGAGAGCCAAATGAGAAGTGGCTTTTAGCATCTCCTCACAAGACTGCCTATCCTGACATGTCCCAAGGAGGATCAGTGGGCATTCTGTAAATGGTTGAGTCTTAGATATGGCCTATGTAGAGACATGAAATTGCCAAGGTACCACGGTAGAGCCATTCTACAAATACAGCCTGACCTTTCTCCTCTCATCACTTGCCTGCTTTCTTTACTTGCTGGGCATCAGCCACACTGATCTTTCAATTTCTCTGACATGCCATGCTTTCTCTTGTCATAGAGCTTTTGCATATGCCATCCCTTCGGCCTGAAGTACTCTTTCTTCTGCCTCTTTGCCTTCTTAATTCCCATTCTTTCTTTAATCCTAAACTCATTTGTTGCTTCTTAGGGAAGCTTTCCAAGACATTCCTGACTAGGACAATGCCTCCAGTTATCATATAGCACTGTACTCCTCTCTTTCATAGCACTCTGGACAATTTTAATTTTATAGTTACTTGTTTAATCCTTAATTAAGTAATAATAGTAAAGATAATCCATGCTCTATCACTTAATTTTAAAATGCTTTCACATACTTAATTTCATTCTATCTTTTTCATTTCTGTGAGGTAAACAAAACAGGTATTTTTAATCTATTTTTTACAGATAAGAGCCAATATTAAAACTCATGTATTCTTACTTTAGAGTGCTCTATACGTCACCACTGTGCTTCCCACGTAAATATATAAGGCAGCATGCAGTGAGCAATAGGGACAAAGAAATTCTCTAGGGGCTCAGAGGATAGAGAAATCACTTCAGATGGGGTGATAAGGATAGATGTCCATAATAGAGTTACCATTTAAAGTTGACCTTGAAAGTTGATAAGCTTCTGGTAGACAAAGAAGTGAGCAGCTTCTAAGATAAGAGGTAATATCAAAGGTACAATCATAGAAAGTCTTGAGACGATTTGAATAATGGCAAGTGAATGTGTTTTGATGGATTAGTGTTAATAGGAGTACCAGAAAGGGAGACTCAAATTATGTTGTGGAGGACTTCAAATATGAAACTTTTCATTCAAAGACCACTGGGAACACACCTGTATTTGAGGAAAGTTAAGTATTTTTGAACTGCTAGAGCTGTGGGTTATCTCAGGAGGTTGGGAGCTTATTTATAGGATTTCAGCTTGTGCTGGTGATTCTTAGGAGGGTTTAGAGAGAGCAGAAGTCAGTTCTAATTGGATACTTTCAAAAAGTGAAGTATTGGATATTTTGGTATATCTTATCTTGGAGATGGGAGAATTAAGGAAATAGTAGTCATTTGTGTTAGCCAGAAGAGGGGGATGTTTAGTTATTTTTGTGGTTCTTGAGTGTCCTTGCTTCAAGTTTCAGAAATAATTACATAGTAGTCATATTTCAATCTTTGCTAGTCACAGAATGGCCTTATCTCAGTATTGTTTATATTCTGCCAAAATTATTTATATTCAGTTGGGAACACTGTGGTTCAAACTGTCAGCTTCCAGCTGCCAGGGATGTTTAATTACTTTATCACTACCCAATACATTGATCTGTTAGGCCCTTAAGGCATCTAGCAGTTGCCTAAGGTAAGTGGCCTTATCCATTTACTCCAGGGTGCTATACAAATATTATCATTATCTAAATGTGCTAGGTCTTGAAAAGGATTGACTGAACAATAGCACTGAAAATGAAGAATAAAGGACCATACAGGGATCACTGGGTGGCGCAGCGGTTTAGCGCCTGCCTTTGGCCCAGGGCGCGATCCTGGAGACCTGGGATTGAATCCCACGTCGGGCTACCGGTGCATGGAACCTGCTTCTCCATCTGCCTGTGTCTCTGCCTCTCTTTCTCTGTCTCTCTGTGACTATCGTAAATAAAAAAAAAAAAAAAAAAAAAAGGACCATAACAGGTTATAAAGGTTCTCCAACATTTCTAGTTCAATTAAAATCTACATTTTAGCAAAAGTCAACTTATTTCTCTTTCTACAGTCTATGGTTTGCTGTCTTTTGAGTATTATACCCTCTATCTAGAATATCTTTCCCTGATCCTCTTCTTATGTCCAGATCCTGTCAGTTCAGATGTCTCTCCCTTCCCCCATGTTACTAAGATCAAGAAAAAGCCTATTTGAAATACTAAATAAAGAATAAATTATGTATTTGGATATGCTAGCCTGGGGTCAACCTGGAAGCAATCTCCTTTCTCTGTGAATTCTACAGCAAATTTCTTATACCCCTAAAACATATATTTTTAACATTTATTAAATACTTATGATATCCTAAGTACTAAAAACTATCACTGATACCATCAAAATGCCATGATGTTTGCTTCTTTCCAGGTTCTTCTTATGTATAAGTATAAAGTAACAGGGAAGTTTCAAAACCCCACCCTTATTCTTATCTCATTCAAGATAAGAATTACTGATAGTTTGTGGTATTTGACTTTATTTATTTATTTATTTATTTATTTATTTATTTATTTAATTTGGCTCTATTTATATCAGGGAGGTGAAGAGAAGCTTATAGGTGGGTTGATACTCCTTGTGAAGAGTTGAAATTGGGCTAATAGTCAGCAGGGACTAGCTGTTATCAAAAATACCATTTTAAAAATTATATATTAGGGATCCCCAGGTGGCTCAGCAGTTTAGCTTCTGCCTTTGGCCCAGGGCCTGATTCTGGAGTCCCAGGATCGAGTCCCACGTCAGGCTCCCTGCGTGGAGCCTGCTTCTCCCTCTGCCTGTTTCTCTGCTTCTCTCTGTGTGTCTCTCATGAATAAGTAAATAAAATATTTTTAAAAAATTATATATTAAAAGGGCTAACATTTGAAGAAGTGTGAAAATCATAAACTTTTGTACTGCCTGAAAGGAAATAAACTGTAGTAAAAAATAGGTTTGTTTTTCTTATATTGATTTAGGAATGACTGCTTGCAGAAAACCTGGGAACCGAGAATGTAATCATCACTGTAAAAATAAACAGACATGTGGACATGACTGCTGTGAGTTCCATAAAATAAGTTTATTTCAGATTTTAAAATTGAAAGAGCTTGGGACACCTGGGTGGCTCAGTCGTTCAGCATCTGCCTTTGGCTCAGGGCATGATCCCAGCCAGGGGCCTGAGATTGAGTACTGCATTAGGCTCCCCACAGAGAGCCTGCTTCTCCCTCTGCCTATGTCTCTGCCTCTCTCTCTGTCTCTCATGAATAAATAAATAAATAAAATCTTTTAAAAAATAAATAAAATAAAATTGAAAGGTCTTTGAATAGTAATGACATCCTAATTACCTATGTGTGATATTTATATTATTCAATTTATAACTCAAATAATTTTCTTTCTTTATTGGTAACATGAAAAAAAATTAGATTAGAAATTATGAAGATCTGCCCCTGAAACTAATAATATATGCTAACTAAATTTAATTTAAATTTTAAAAAAATTTAAAAAGAAATTAAGAAGAAATTTGGCTTTACATGAATACTACCTAAGAATCTAGAATTTCTTTTCATAGGTAAAACTGGAGTGGCACAAAAGTCAGAAACAAAAGAGCCAACAATCTCTTCATATTTATCCGATTTAAGAAACAGGAATGCTGTTTCATCACTTCCTCCGGTTAAACGTCTCAAGGTAAGTTTTAATAGTATTTACCCTTGTTCTGTAATTTAATGTATTTGAATATTCCTTTATTCTTTGTATCAATTAGGTATGTATCCAAAGTGTACTTTAGTTACTTGAGGGCTTGTCTAGGAGGATAGCCATTTTTCAAATTGTTTCTAAAGGGTAAAATATTGTACTTCTTAATAATTAGTCTGTAAATCTACTTTTGGGACATAGTTCTACAGCCCCTTATTAGTGTTTGACTAAAAAAGAGGGAAATGGAGAGGGATATGTCACTTGGCTTGGTTTGGCAATTAAAACTAGACATGCTTGCCCTTTTCTGGTTCTCTCTGTGCTGGAGTGGTATGGAAAGTCTGAGGTTGATTTTGATTCAAGTACCTAGATGAGTACTGAGCAAGAGCCTCCTTTCCAAGTCATGAAAGTATGGTTGTTCCTACCGGTTGATAGGCTGGTCACTAGCAGACTTATTCTAACCCTACGTCACCACATCCAGGGCAAAATAATTGATCAGGCAACAGAAACAAGGCAAGAAAATGGCAGAGTGTCTGCATTTCTAGGGCTTTAATAAGAATGAAGATTTTAAGTCATGAGGCTAAAACAAGGGGAATATTGAGAAAGAGGCAGAGGCATGTAGTTTCTAACACCACCACCTTCTCTTAGAGAATAATTTTTTAGTAGCTCCAAGGTTTTTCTCCTCCCTCCCACCCCCTCCTTTCTTTCTTCCTTCCTTCCCATTCCATATTATTCCTTCTTTCCTTCCATATCCATTTTTTAAAAGTTTGTTTAATTGGTGCACTTACATGGCTCCGTCAGTTAAGTGTCTGACTCTTGATTTCAGCTCAGGTCATGATCTCAGGGTAGTGAAATCGATCCCCATGTTGGGTTCTGTGCTGGGTGTGGAGCTTGCTTAAGATTCTCTCTCTCTCCCCCTGTACAACTTCCCCTCTTTCTCTGTCTTCCTCTCTTAAAAAAAAGTTATTATTTTTAGTAGTCTGTGCACCCAACACAGGGTTCAAACCCATAACTCTGAAATCAAGAGTCTCATGCTCTTCAACTGAGCCAGCCAAGTGCCCCCTTCCATATTCATTGAGCACCAACAATATGCTATAAATACTGTGATCGGTGCTAAGAGATGGCAGTAAATAAGAGTTTTAGTCCCAATCCTCAGAGAGCTTATAGTTGGGTGAAGGATACAAATAACTAAGTAGACTTTTTCAATGTAGTGTGATGAATGATTCTGTGACAGACGTGTAAGATAGCTTAAAAGTGATAGACCAGGAAAGGATTTCAAATAAACATGATTGAGATTTTAAGGATATATAGGCATAAGCCAGGTATGGAGAGGTAGGCATCATAGTGGTAGTAGAGAAGGATAGAAGAGTATTCCAGACAGAAAATATGCAGTGGTCCATACCTGAGAAAGAAACAGAGATCTTTTAAAACACTGAAGTTACACAGTGTGTCAGGAGTTCAATCACAAGTAAGGGAGTAGAGAGAGATGAGACTGAAGAGGTAAGTAAGAGCTAGATAATGAAAGCCTTTTTGCTATTTTAAGGATTTGGACTTTATCCTGGAAGTATTGGGAAGCCACTGAAGGGCTTTAATCAGTGACATGATCAGAATTGGATTTTCTAAAGTTCACTCCAGATTCAATGTAGAGAATGGATTAGAGGATGATAGAAGAGGAACATAAGGACTCATTAGATGGGTTTTACAATAATCCAGGCAAGATGATGGCCTGCAGTAGCAGTGGAAAGAAGTAGCTAGGTTTAAGGCATTTTTCAGAGATAAAATCAACTACCTTGGTACTTAATTGCTTATGAAGGGTGAAGTAGAAGGAGTAAAAATGATGGCCAGCTTTCTGGATTGAGCAACTAGGAAAAAAATGAGGCCTCACTAGGGTGGAAACTCCAAAGAAAAAGCAAGTTTGGAGAAGTAGATATAAAATAAGCTTAAGGGAAAATATTGAATTTAGAAGTCTGCAAGATATCTGTAAAGATGGACATCTGTAAAGATGTTCTACAGACAGTTGTATATAGCTGTTTAAAAATCAGGAGAAGGAGCTGAATTAGAAATATAGATTTGAGAGTCATTCAGTTGTAGATGATAATTGATGTCATGAAGTAAATGAGATCTTTGAAAATGTGTAGAGGGAGAAGAAAGCCTGGTAAAGAACAATGAAGAATATAAACATTTAAGAAGCGCCTAAGAAGGAGATTTGATTTGAGAACTAGCCTGAGTTTTTCATAATCCATTGGTTTGGGGACTTAATGTACCAGCAGGACTTTTGCTATTTGGCTTATTTGTTAAAAAGTGTTGGGTGTGAAATTGACAGTTGGACTTTTTTCATTAATAGATGCAAATGAATAAATCTCGAAGTGTGGACCTTAAAGAATTTGGTTTTACTCCAAAACCTTCTGTTCCCAGTATATCAAGGTACAAATATAACGTTACTATCCAACGTAGAATGGTTATAATAAACTCCTTGCTCTTCCAAAATAATCATGTATTCAGTGAAAGGTGAACACTGGCTACATTCAAATTGTAGTAATTGGGCAGCCCGGGTGGCTCAGCGGTTTAGTACCACCTTCAGCCCAGGGCCTGACCTTGAAGACCCGGGATCGAGTCCCACGTCGGGCTCCCTGCATGGAGCCTGCTTCTCCCTCTGCCTGTGTCTCTGCCTCTCTCTCTCTCTCTCTCTCATGAATAAACGAATAAAATCTTTAAAAAAAATTATAGTAATTATTTCATCCCATAATGAAGTAATGACATCATAAGAGTTTGGTTATCTAAATTTATTGAGAACTCTACAGTTACATTTTAACATTCATTGAATCACGTCTTTCATGGGAAACTACTCATCCTATGTCATGCCCTCAGCTTTCTCTGCCTTCTAAATTTAACAGGTAACAAAAGTATACTTTAAAAAGAAAAATCATGTTACTGTACAAAGTCTTATCTTTTCCATCTAAGGGCCCACTCTATGTTAATAACACTTCAGATTTATAAAATAACTTACAATTTTAAAATTGCCCATTTGCATATTATCTCTTTTGGCCTTAACCACAACCTGGCTTATAAAATGGGGTATTTATATCCCATTTTATAAATAAAATAATCAAAGCTCATATTCCTAGTTATTAAGCAGAAGGGCCTAGCTGATAACTCAGCATTCTTTTCCTATATCATGATGCCTAGAATATATGTCATTTCCCTTCCAGATAAGGGTATTCTATATGCAGGGATGACATTTAATATACTTAACAAACAGTACAGAACAGCCACTGACCAATCAGAACAGATGCCAACACTACTTCAAGTGATCCTAGCTTTTGTTATCTAATTGAAAGTAGCATTAACAATAGGTTTTTAAGGCTATACACAGATAACAGATATCTACATATTTGGGACATGTAAAGATGACTAAGTATCTTGCTTCCAATAAACACCTATTTCTTACTCTTTACTACCCAGGCTAAGGCGGTTTATCACAGAAGTGTTGAGAAGATGAAACATTTCTTTTTTATTTATATGAGTAAGTGGTTTTCAAATTCAGATTAATTTTAATATTTAACATTTTTATGGTTTTATTTATCTTTATAAAGGTCAGAGTGTTTAAACATACCTGGATTGTCTGTAATGGAGCAGAGGGATCAGCGTGATTTCTGTGTAAAAGTTCAACAAGAACCATCTGAATATGAAGACAAAGGTGAATTACCATTGATATTGCCTTGAAAGAGAAAATGGTTTATCATTACTTTGGAATGACATTGTTATTGAAAAATCAACATCTGAAATTACTATGATTATTAACTTGGCAACATTTTTCTCTTGGGTTATTGAATCAATTTCAAATTTTTAGGTCTGTTATTTCAGATGGAGTTGCTATGTTTGTTATAGATGTTTTAAAAATCTCTTCCCTACATAGTGTTGGTTATTTTTATTTAAAGATAATATGAGGAAAAGCTGAGAAAATAAGGGATCTCGAGATACACAAAGTATTAAAATACTGAGCTATTACTTTTATATGTCTTTAGAATTATTTAAAATAATTTTATGTTTATAAAATTAGTCCAGTTTTACCAAATAGCTGTATGATCTTGGGAAAATTATTTAACCTCTTTAGGTCTTAGTCTTATCTTTAAAATTAGGGGATTAAATTAAATGATCTTTAATATCTCTCCAGTTTCTAAACTTATAATTCTTAAAATTTCTCTGATAGTATGAGAGTATAACCTAGTTTATGGGGTATAGCTCATAGGTAATTTAGATTTGCTTTTTATCTGTGTCAATCATTTGATTAATGAGATAAAGCATATAATTCTTCAACATTGGGACAGCTCATCATTACTCTGGATCCTGTTATTAATAGCATTATTTGTTTGGGTTATGCCATTAATAGCCTGTCTGTTAAAATGTGTGAGAAGTAATTCTGGCCATAGAATTGTTTTTCAGTTGCTGTATGTAGAAATGATAAACTTGGGGTTTCTCATAAATGATTTCATGTGTGTAGCCTTAGCGTCTATTGAGAGTCTTTCCTTCATGCTGTCACTTTATGCTTCCTCTAGCCATCATTTAAAATCTTAAGTACACTAGGGCTGGAGTCCTAGCGATTAGGATTTCATGGTGTTGGAAAGTCCCCTAATCACACTTAGAGTGTCAGAGTATTTATCCAACTTGCTCAAAGTCTGAATATCATTAAGACATGGAGAGGTGTTAGATTGTCAACTCCTTTATTTTTATCTCTTTTCAACCTATAGCCCTCTAACTTATTCCTCATTCTGCTGCTCTGTTCCCTGCCCTTCTCCATACCACAGTTTATCCCTCTGCTTACTTTCATGCTTTTTTTTTTAAGATTTTATTTATTTGAGAGAGAGAGACAGAAATTGCGCGAGAGAGCACGAGAGGGGAGGAGAGGGAGAAGCAGGCTCCCTACTCAGTGGAGAGAGATTTGATTCTAGGGTTCAATTCCAGAACCCTGGGATCATGACCTGAGCCGAAGACAGATGCTTAAATGACTGAGCCACCCAGGTGCCTCCTTTCATGCTGTCTTTACATAGTTTTCTTACTTTTCTTTCCTATCCCCTATTCCAAATCCAAAGTATATTATGATATTAAAGTCTCATCTAGATACTTTAACCCCCAATGATAATTGTATCCCTATTTTATTGAAAATGGGCCACATTTTTTTTAAAAGGAGAAGCTGTGTGGTGTAGTAGTTAAATTCACAAGATCTAGAATGATCGGTCTAGGGATGCTTAGTTGGTAGAGCATGTAACTCTTGATCACAGGGTTGTGAGTTCCAGACCCACATTGGGTTTAGAGGTTACCAAAAAAAAAAAAAATACTTAGAATAATCTGTCTAGGTTCAAATTCTAGCTCTGTCATTTAGTAGTTGTGTTACCTTTTGTAATGTATCTACCTACTTTATCTCAATTCCCTCATCTGCTTATGTTTTAGGGATTTTTAAATGAGATAATATACATAAAGCCCTTACCATAGTATCTGGTACTATTATTAGTAGTAATTGAGTATATTCATTATACTTTCCACATGTCAGTTTTGGGTGGCAAAACATACTTCATTTGTAGTCAAATATTTCTCTAGAGAATGTTTAAGAAAAACATGCCAATTTTTATCATCTATATTCTAATTCTTAGAAAAGAAAAAGAAAAATGTCAGAAATTATATGAAAAAGTGTGTTGAATCATAAAATTTAAATTGTAAGGGACCTTTGTGCAATTTCTCATTTTATAGTGAAAGAAACCAAGACTCTGTGAGATTAAATGACTCGCCCAAAATCACATATCTAATTAATGGCAGGGCCAGAAATAAATTCTATATCTCTTGATTCCCAGCTCAATGCCATTTCTATAAAATGAAATTGACTTTTAGTTATCAGTGCAGAATTGAAAATCGAACCTATATGAACTCTTTCAACTTTCCATCTTGCAACTGTATATTTCTCTATGTCTGCATCCATTCTTTACACTGTTTGTCTTTATAGAAGAATTTTCTTTTCTTCTATTCAGGGTTTATCTTTCCACCTGTAGTTTTAATCTTTCTAGTCCTGCCTCTCTTGGGGCTTTAGGAGACCAGTTATCCCTCTCTTCTTAACATATTTTCAAACTTTCCTCCCTCTTTGTCTTCAACATATAAATAGGCTCAAGTCTTCCTTCTTCAGCTCCCTGCTCTCATCTAGCTAGTCATAATGGTTCTGGTTTTAAGTGACAGAAATTCTACTCAAAGTAACTGAATCACAAAAAAGGGGAGACCATTCATGTAAACTGAAAGTCCAGGCATGCATCTGGATTTAATCTTGCTAGATCTAAGACCTCAAATGATTTCAGTCATGCCTCTGGCTTTCTCTCAGTCTTTTTGGTATGCCTGTTGCTGATTGCTTTTATTTTTTTCAACAAGCTTTTTCACATGGCAGGTAGTCCTTCCATCTTCCCAGTTGAACAGCCTCAGTAGAAAAGTCTTCCCTTAGCTTTGGCAGAGCAGAGTTCATTCTAAATGGCCTCAGTTAAATTATGTACTCATCCCTTGATCAATCCCTTTAGCCTGAGGTTTGGGTCATGTGTTCCTCCTCTGTAGCCCTGCGGACCAGGGTACTATAAATGACATCCTCACCAGGATCACATGGAATGGGTGGAGGCAGTTTCCCCAAATGAAAGGAAAGATACTACTAATAAAGATACTCCATACATCTGAAAGTATGTTCGGCAAAGAACAGAATCACCAGGGTATATACAGTTTAATGTCTGCTTTCTCATCAAAACAAAAATTCTTCAAAGGGCAATTTATACTCATTGTGTTCACTTCCTTACCTGCTAGTCATGTTTCACTAACTAAAATTTAGGTTCTCCACTCCTTTGAAACTGCTTTCACTTAGACCAGTTAGTGATCTTCTAAGTCCTGAGTTCAGTAAACTCTTTTCAACTTTTATTTTTTTTTACCTTCATAGTATTTGGCACATCTGGTCTTTCCCTCCTTTTGGAAATCTCTGCTTTGATTTCAGTTAAACCATTCTGTTGGTTCTACTACTTCTTGAATAGCTTGGGCATTTTTTCCTGTTAATGTTGCAAAGGATTATTTTTCTTCTTTTTGTTCTCACTTCATAAACTTTTCTTATACAAGGTCATCTGAGTCCATGTCTAAAGTTACTAACTATATTCAAATGATTTCTACATCTGTGACTACCATCTATATCTTTCTGTCTAGCCTCTGGCCCATCTATACAGTCACCTTTCTGGATATATCTACCTGAAACTTAACATATCATCATCTGAACTCCTTCTACTTCTCTGTACCTCACACTGCTCCTTTTCTTTTCTTCTCTTCTTTTGTTAATATTTTCCATTTTTATGGTTTTATTTATCTTTATAAAGGTCAGAGTGTTTAAGCATACCCTCTTCTTTTCTAAGCTGCTAAAGGCAGGAAAAGAGTCACCCTAAATATCTTACCTTACTTGCAAATAATCTCCAGGTCCTATCTGTTTTGCCTTCTAAACATCTCTTATATCTGTTTTTCTTCTCTGTCCCTGATGCTCTAGCTCAAACACTCATTGTCTTTCATTTATTGGAGTAGCTGTCTTACTTTTCTCTTTGCTTTCAGTCTCATTATCATCCCACCCATGACTATTTTGAGTCATCTAACAGGTATCTCTGATCATCTAAACCTCTTGCTAAAATATCTTTAGTGGTTATACATTGCCTATAAGGGGGGAAAAAGGTGAATTCTTTAACATGGAAAATAAGCATCAAGGGACGCTGGGTGGCTCAGCGATTGAGCCTCTGACTTTGGCTCAGGGTGTGATCCGGGATTCCCAGGATCAAGTCCCACATCAGGCTCCCTGCACGGAGCCTGCTTCTCCCTCTGCCTATGTCTCTGCTTCTCTCTCTGTGCCTCTCATGAATAAATCAATAAAATCTTAAAAAAAGAAAAAAGAAAAAAAGCATCAATATAATCTGGCACTAAACTTCCTGTGCAGTCTCAGTGGACTCTTCTTTTCCTTCTACTTTGTGCTCCAGAAATCCAGAAAACTTATAGTTTTCCAGACATTCTCTGGTCTCCATTATTGCCATGTCTTTCACATGCTGTCCTCTCTTCATGGAGTATCTTGCCTTCCCCTTAGCCCTGCTCCACAATCACAACTCTACCAAGCTCAAATTTCAGTGTTACCTTCTTACCATTTTACCACCCTAGAGGTCCACTCTGACTTCCATTATAAGTTTAGATCCTGTTCCCTTTGTATTCCCATTGCACTCCTGTGCCCTACTTCTATTTTAATATATATCATTATGTGTGTATCAATGAATGAAAGTAGAATAATGTGAACTGGAGTTGTAAGTACAATTGGAAGATAAAGTAGGATTTGGCTAGGTGAAAAAAGGTACAGAGAATATTTAAAGTGAAGGAAATTTGGTGATATGCTGGAGTAAGCTTGTGCTGGCTTGTGAGAGAGAATTATTAAATACTTGGGAATCTTTTAGCCATTATTAAAAGTGTAATTATATAAACTTTCAATTAAATAATTAAAAACAAAGACTGTAAATATTCAAAACTAATCACTTCCTAATTATTCTACTGCATATTACTATTTGTGTTCTTGAGATTATTTACCTCTATATTTGTATCTATATGGTGAAAATATTATATAGTGGTGTGCTACTATGTATATCTTCTCAACTTTGCATTCAGAGATGTCACATTGGTAGCTTGAAATTAGGACTTGACTTATTGTTTAGACTTATGAAAGTGATGGAGAAAATGTTAATAATGCAGATTAACAAAAAGTTGAGGGAATATTCTTCTAGTATTTGAAAACTATTGTGTAATTTAGCAAAGGAGTTGCCTAAGTCAATGAGCGAATGAGTCAAGTTCCATCATCTCTCTTAGTTATTTTACTTTCATCTTAGTTAAACTCAACAAGAATATCAAGTAGCATTCATGTGAAAACTATGTTCATTTGTTAATTGCAACCATAGGTTGGCTACAGATACAAAACTCGATGAGAGCATTCAGTGAAAATCAGATATATGGAATGTATAATTAAACATGCTATATATTGTATTATTAATTGTAAACTGTGTGCTACATATCCTTTACCTATAATAATGCATGTAATAAATGTAAATATATATATGCATACATTTTTTGAGAAGCAGTTATTAAAAATTTGTTAGCACACTACTGTGGAAAACTGCAAAAGTAAAAGCATTTAGTCCCTCTAATAATCTTATGAGATAGTTACTGTTATCATTCCCATTTTGCAGAGGAGAAAATGAGGTTCAGAGACTTTAAATTACTCATCTAGGATGATACAACTAGTAAGTGAGAGAAGTAGAATTTTCACCCAGGTAGTCTGGCCCTAAGCCCAGGCTATCAACAGTGGATAACACTGAGGATTTTTTTTTAGCAGGAGAATTAAGATATATTTTGGAAGAACATATTTCATAATAATATTCAAAATTCACTTGTAGGGAGAAGAGCTGGAAGAAGGAAGACCATTTTAGAAATTATAAATTCACTTTAGAGTAGGGTTATTCTCATTTAGGAATTAAGAGGGAAAATTAATTCTGTCTAAAAGAATCCATTGAAAACTAAACTTAGTGAAAATATCAGTATATGTAATACAGTGAATAGAATTGGTTGAAACAGTATCAACAATGCTTGACCCAATACGTTTGAAAACTACTATTCAAACTTCAGTTTAGTAGTTGAAAGATGTGTTTGATATATCAATTGAAAATGATGTTAATGGTTTAAAAAGTACCTATACTCTTTTATACATACACATGACAGATTTCTCTAGATGGAACTATTCTGCAACTTCAAATGAGAAAGCCCCTCAAACAGTGCTGTTCAACAGACATCTTAATGCATCTGGAAACCAGAATTCGACAGATGGGGATAAAAGTAATTCTCCATCCTCAGAAGTTTTGAATGTGAACTTTGAATTGGGAAATGAAGTTTGGGATGATTTTGATGATGAGAACTTATTAGAAGTTACTAGTTTTTCAGCCAGTACTGAGAAGACAAAAACATCAGGTAAAATTGGCTTTTAGCATGAAATAATTTCATGAGAAATTCTTTGAATATTTTTCAGTTCAGCTTTTGAAACTAATTTTCTTTGCCTTATATGTTTGCTTCATCAGCTTTTGTTTGTTAAGATTATAATTTTTAGTAAAACTGAAAATATGACCCTTCCATAAATCACATTTCCTTTTAAGGATAAAAGTCAAGGTTATTTCATGATAATTATATAGCAGATGGGCTTCTTCTGTTGCTCCTCTATTTTGTTAAAAACTCTATTTAAATTCAAAATATTTATTAAATCTTCCCTCATGAAACAGACTATCCAGCTTTCAATTATGTGATCACACAAAATTTGCTAATGTTTGTGAAGGACAAAATCACTCCATTTTAAAAAATATTTTAATTATTTATTTATTGATTGATTTATGAATGAGAGAGAGAAAGAGAGAGCATACACATGAGCAAGAGAGGAACAGAAGGAGAGGGACAAGCAGACTCCACACTGAGCACAGACCCCACATTGGGCTTGATCCCATGACTCTGAGATCACGACCTGAGCCAAAATCGAGATTCAGACACCTAACCTACAGAGCTATCCAGGTGCCCCTAAAATTGCTCCATTTTAAAAAGTGTTCATCTGCTAGCCAGGAAAATAAAAGATACCTTTTATTTCTAGTAGATGTATTGATTTTTTTTCAAGTGTAATAAATAATACGAAAGATTGGTTTCTTCTCTATTCAATATTGTATTTAAGTCCTTAAAATAATGGGACTTAATTTTCCAAATTACTGGCAGATTTACTCTATGTCACTAAAACGGAAAATGCAAATCTTGATGAGTATATGAGAAGACAGCAAAATGGAGGTATTCTCTCCCATGATGGCTGAGAGGAGGAAATCAGTCTCTCAGAATTTTAGTTGACTCTTAATGTATCCCATTCCAATGCTCTTTAAAAAAATATTTTTAAGGGAAGCAATTAGAAGTCAAAATACTATCGTTTCTGGATTCTGAGAAATACCTAAAGAGCTATTATTCCTTCCAGAAGGAATAGGATTTGACCACCTTCACAAAATAGACCAGGAAAATCTATGATGTGGAGTCAGTAGCCACAATTTCCTGTATCACTGAACAGCTATTAGTCCCTACCTCAAAATTAAAAGTCATTGTGTATTGCCGTTTAGGATGCACTTTGTACTGAGTCTTTGAGGTTAGCCTAATCATGTGCGGGCATAATTTTGACACTGGGAAAGTCAGACTCTCTAAATGCCATGTATAGCGCACTTTAAATGAAATTAATTATATGTAGACCTTTGAAAACACTGAATGAAATTCAACTTGATCATTTCCATGAGTTAAAATTATTAAGTAAGTAAAAGTGGTTTCGGGACCTTTAGTAGTAGTAGACCTTTAATGACTAGTAAGCTAACCTATGTTTTATAGTTTAACTCCCTTAGATTTGCTCCCTTATTTCTCTATATAAATTAAATTTGATTTTTGAGAAGAATTATTCATTCCTTCTTTTTTAATATTTTATTTAAATTCAATTTGCCAACATTTAACATTCAGTGCTCATCCCATCAAGTGCCCTCCTTAGTGCCTGTTACCCTTATTCCTTCTTTAATCAGATCACATCTGTTGGAGAGAGCCATTGTAGATCCATTCATCTGTTTCCTGGCATTTAATTTCAAAATGTTATCTCTTTACATAGGATTTGGAAACACTTTGAGTTCAAGTACCAGGGGAAGTAAGCTATTCCTCCAAGAGCCAAAGAGCAAATTCCAAGGAGAAATGACAAAAAGGCAAGTTTGGAATACTATACAACTCTATATCCTCCTGACACATAATTGGAGATGGAGATCAAATAAATAGATGTCAAAGAAGCTTAACCTTTCTTTTATTTTTTTAAAAGATTTATTTATTTATATATTCATGATAGACACAGAGAGAGAGAGGAAGAGGCAGAGACACAGGAGGAAAGAGAAGCAGGCTCCATGCCGGATGCCCAACACAGGACTCGATCCTGGGACTCCAGGATCGTGCCCTGGGCCAAAGGAAGGCACTAAACCACTGAGCCACCCAGGGATCCCCTTAACCTTTCTTTTAGAACAGTGTTTCTCAAAGTGCTATTGACAGACCACTTACTTCAAAAGTATTAAAATATATTAAAAATGAACATTTCTGGGCTCCACACCAGACTTACCAAATTATGGTCCTAGGAAAGCTAAATAGGAGTTTGAAAAGAGAAAGGTAGAAAAGATAAGGATAAGGTATTCCAGATAGATGAAGCAGGTGTAAAGGTATAAGGCTTGAAAAGGCATCTCATGCTCAAGGGTCAGTAAAGTGTTGTCTGTATGGCCATAGCATTAAGGCCGAGAGTGCTGAGGTCTGATTCTAAAGAGCCTCGAATGCTGTATTTAGACAACTTTGCCATATCAAGTAGGTAGGAGTTACAAACTCAAACTGCCTTCAGGATTTGGTGGGCCAAGACCAGCTGGAGATTGTCCCATATAAAAGGCACAATGGTGGAAATATTACAATTCCAGATTTCAGGATATACTACAAAGCTAATATTATCAAAATAGTATGGTACTGGCACAAAACTAGACACTAGACCACTTTTTTACACCATACACAAAAATAAACTCAAAATGGATTAAAGACCTAAGTTTAAGACTTGAAACCATAAAACTCCTAAAAGAACATATACGTAGTAATCTCTTTGACATCAGTTTTAGCAACATATTTATGGATATGTCTCCTGAGGCAAGGAAAACAAAAACAAAAATAAACTATTGGGACTAGACCAAAATAAAAAGCTTTTGCACAGCAAAGGAAATCATGAACAAAACAAAAAGATAACTTACTGAATGGGAGAAGCTATTTGCAAATAGTATATTCAATAAGGGGTTAATATCCAAAATATATAAAGAATTTATACAACTCACACCAAAAAAACCAACTTGATTAAAAAATAGAGGGCCTAAATAGACATATTTCCAAAGAAGATATACAGATGGCCAATAGACACATATGAAAAAGATGCTTAGCATCACTAATTATCAGGGAAATGCAAATTGAAACCATGAGATATTATTTCATGCAAGACAGAATGGCTAGTATCAAAAAGACTTAAATAATAAGTGTTAGTGAGGATATAGAGAAAAGGGAATACTTGTGTACTGGGGGTGGGAATGTAAATTGTTACAACCACTATGAAAATCAGTAGTATGGAGTTCCCTCAAAAAAATGGAACTACCCTATAATCCAGTAGTTCCACTACTGGGTATTTACCCAAAGAAAATAAAAACACTAGTTTGAAAAGACATATGTACCCCTGTGTTTTTGCGGCATTATTTATAAGAAGCAAGATATGGAAACAATTCAAGTTGTAGGTAGCAATAGATGAATGACTAAGGGAGATGTGCAATATTTATATATCTATAATACTACTCAGCCATAAAAAAGAATGAGATCTTGCCATTTGCAACAACACAGGTGGACCTAGAGGATATTATGCCAAGGGAAATAAATCAAATCATATGATTTCACTTAGATGTGAAATCTAAAAAAAACCCATAAATGAACAAACAAACACAAAAACAGACTTAAATACAGAGAACAAACTGATGGTTACCAGAGGGTGGGTAGGTGGCGAAATTAAGGAGATAAAGGAGATTAAGATGTACAGACTTCCACTTATAAATAAGTCAGAGAGAGAAGAAAATTACAGCACAGGGAATATAGTCAATAATATTGTAATGATATTGTATGGTGACAGATTGCGACTACACTTATTGTAGTGAGCATTGAATAACGTATAAAATTTTGAATCAGTAAGTTGTACACCTGAAGTTCATATAACATTGTATGTCAATTATACTTTAATAATAAAAAATAAAATAAAAATAAGAGGGTCAACCACTACTTGACTCCAGCCAGTTGTTGCTGTGCAGGAAATATGTGCCTGCAAATATTCTTATTCTCAAAAAAAAAGCTAAGACTCTAAAATTTAATGTGACATCTCCTGACATAAATTTTAAGAACTAATTTTTTAAAATGTGATATAATCTATAGCCCTCCTCTAGCTGTAGCTTAGTTTTTAACCTCCATATAAGCAGTAGGAAGGTTTCCAAGATACTTAAACACAAGAGAACACATAGATGCCCTATGGTGATATGATATGATATATAAAATGAATTGTAGAAAGTGGGACCACAAGAAGCATGATGGCCAGCATGAGAGGCAGGCTATAGTCAGGCCTAAACTGAGAAGAGGTGATTCAAACTGAGAGGTAGAGTTGGACTTTTGAAGCATTTCATAGACAGCACATACTAGATTTAATAATTGATGGATACAGTAGTTGAGGGAATGCAAAAAATACATGGCAAGTGGATAGTTGAAGTTGTTACCTGAGAATATAGGACACATAGACATTTGGAAGAGAAAATAGTCATTTAAAAAATGTTCAACTTGGGGTGCCTGGCTGGCTCAGTCAGTAGAGCATGCAACCCTTGATCTTAGGGTTGTGAGTTCAAACCTCACGTTGGGTATGGAGCCTACTTAAAAAAAATGTAAAAAAAAATTTTTTTTAAATGTTCAACTTGAAGTATTTTTCAGAAATTCAAAGTGCATCTTGATATTGGTCCTGATTAGAAGTCATGGAGGGCAATTATAGCCACAGTCAAAACTTTCCCCAGAAGAAATACTGACAACTTTTTGTTCAGGATCTAATTCACTTAAGGATTATTTATTTCTCGTATTTTAAAAAATAAGAAATTTTTGGTGTCTTTCGGCACATTTGCTATAATCTAGTCATTTTACTGATTATCAGCATCACAGAATTACAGATTTTGGATTATTCCAGAACTCAGAGGTGTTTAACTTAAGCACCATTTAGTTTTCCCACTACCAGATACTGAATCACCATCCAATATCACCAGCAGGTATTCATGCCATGTGTATCAAACAGCTCTAGTGATCAGGAGCTCATTCACTCCAACATGTTTGTTCCATGTTTGGATCTTTCAGCCTATTCAATAGCTTTTAAGAATATTTACCTAAAATTGCTTCTTACTATTTCCATTCATTGGTTCTAACTCTGAGTCATACAGAATAAACAGATTAGAAGCATCAAAGTAGAACAAAGCTGTGGGTATAACGAGGCAAAAAAAATAGGAAGTAGGAAGATACAAGTAGGAAAATAACAAAGCACATAAACAGTTTTGTGAGCCATACCTTTAGAAACTATAGATAATTTAGGGAGAGTTTAAAAGTGATGAACAGAAGATTAAATAGATTTGAAAAGGAATCCTTATCAAGAAGCCTCTAAAGAAAAAAATGTGCCAGAGTTGATATTGGAAAGAAGGCCTGCAGGACCTGAGGATTTGGTGTGGAAAGGGGACATGCTTTTCCTTTTTACTATTTTAATTCCTTGCCTTTCCTCAAAGGCAAAAAGATGCAATCATATCAATACATGTACTTCTCTACTACCTGTACCCATTGCTTCTTATTCCCTACATGGCTGTCATATTTTAGGCTGTAAGCGTCAGCTTAAATTGTCACCTCCTCAGAGAGACATGCATTTATGACCACCTTTTTAAAGTGGGTTTATGTCTCCACACTATTTCCTGCAATATAACTCAGTTAATTTCCTTCATATCACTTTAAGATCTATAATTCTGTGTATTTATTGTTTACTTATTGTCTGTTCCTCTTTACCTCTTTATACCTAACTCCTAGTACAATATCCGGCATATGATAGTAATAAATGTTTTTTAATGAATGAATTTAATACAGAAGATTGAAGGTGAATTCTAATGTAGTTTTACATAGGAAGAAAAGTCAAGTTGTCTATTTATAGTGAGACCAGAATAGGGATAGGAAATTAGCAAAATGGGATTTAGAAAAGATTTACAGACTGCTAGGTAATAGAAAATTAAGCATAAGACCCAATTTTAATGAAAATGATTGATTATTTCTGTAGGCTTATAAAAATAGTATTCTTATCTAATTTAGAATATAGATATTAGTGTTTTGTCTAAAGGAAAGGAGCTACACCAAAGTTTCCATGAGTCTACAAAACAGCATCAATTTTTTTGGTAATGAATATGGTTACTTTAATCATATTCCCTAAAGAATCATAATTGATCTTTAGATTAGAATGGTTTGTTTCTCTTAGTTGCCATATTTTATAAATAATTATTTTTTTATTTTTTAGTTTTGTTTCATCACATGGGAAGCCAGATACTTATTTATCAAATTCTCCTGTATTCGAGTTTGATACATCCTCCCTGACGAAATTACCTCAACAAGCTGGAAATACAACTATTGTAAGACGCACCTAATTGTTTTTCTTTTAAACTCTGACTGAATTGCTAAACTTTCAATGATTGGCTTTTTTTCTGTTAACCTCAAATTATAGGTCCATTCACAAGAAAGAAAACAACAAAATCTGTCACCAGAGATTGAAAAGCTATGCTTTACTCACTCTAAAAAAATACCAAATTCTTCACATTTCGTTAAGAAAGTGGATTTCTTTATTAGAAACAATGAATGTAAAGAGGAAATTGATTTCAGGTAAGAATTCTTTAAAGACATTTCAAGACTATGCCAATAAAAACTTTCTATGAAGAAATTCAGGGGTGCCTGGCAGTCGGTTGTGTCTGCCTTTGACTCAAGTCATGATACAGGGTCCTAGGATAGAGCCCTGCATCAAGGTCTCTGCACAGCGGAGAGCCTGCTTCTCCCTCTCCCTCTGGTGCTCTTCCTGCTTGTGTGTTCTCTCTCTGTCAAATAAAATCTAAAAAAAAAAAAAAAGAAGAAGAAAAAAATTTAACATTATTTTTTTCTTGGTTTATTTTATTTTGTTTTATTTTATTTTATTTATTTTATCCTGGAGAAAGAGAGAGAGAGGAAGAGCAAAGAGCAAAGATAGAGGAAGAGAGAGAATCTCAAGCAGGCTCCACACCCAACTCAGAGCCCAATATGGGGCTCCATCTTATGACCCTAAGATCATGACCTAAGTTGAAATCAAGAGTCCAATGCTTAACTGACTGAGCCACCCAGATGCCCCTTTCCTTGGTTTATTTTAAAGAATAGAACCTAAACATTTTATTTACTGAAAAACATTAAATATTTAGACCCCTCATGACCTGAACTCCTTAAGATATTCATAATATTAATATCTCAATTTTTGAGAACGTATGTTTAATACTTTTAGTTAAAACATTTTGTTTTAGTAAACTTTATTTCACTGATTTGAATATAACATGTTGATAATATAAAGTGGAAAATCACTTAAATCCCAATCAGATTGGCTAATTTTGCAGAAGTTCAAGTTGTATTTTAGCCAATCAATTCTCTCACGGTTCTACAGTTTCAATGAAAAATCAGATTAAGTTTGATCAGTTCCCCCTAAGCTGGTCACTTCTGTGGGTAAGTAGCAGTTTCTCTTACCCTCTTGAATAGTCAAAGTTTATAGACTTGTTCATACACTGATTAAATGATATCACTTTTTAAAAACCTTAAGGAAATACCTAAGAGACTTGATCTCTACTTCTCATAATTTATGAAGTCTGATTTTCCCCCACAGACTTCTTCCTAGGTTATGCATATTGAGGTTTATTTGACACATTAATCTGTCAGCAATCTATATATATTTCTATACTTTCTTCTCCCTGCCCTCCAGTAGGTATCATCCTGATGATGAAGCTGATGAAATGAAGTCTTTCCTGGGAATATTTGATGACATTTTCTAAAACAAAACAAAAAAAATCTTATATTAATAAGGCAAGATATAAAGACACCCAATTACAAAGCATGCATTTTATTTTTTTAAGTAGTCACAATTGCTCAAATTTTTTTTCTCTTGGGTTTGATCAGTTTTATTGACTTATTTGCACCACATTTTTGGACTGATTTGTTTTCCTTTTGTAACTTCATGAAAAGCACTTTTACAGTGGGTTTGTTTCAGTAAGCTGAAAATTAAGTTGCACTTAGATATTATTTGGTTATTAAATGTATCTTGATTGGATTTTGACAGGAAAGAATTAAAATTTTATTTTTATATTTTCTTAAGAAAGATATTCTTTGAAAGCAAAATAATGCTAAGTCATGGAATCAATTTGTTGTATGGATAACTCACCAACATTGTTTTGTTTTGCTAAAGATTTTTATGAGTCCAGTGGCTGGCTGAACCTATTGTTATATGACTTCAAACAATAATAAATAAAATGTTAATCAATATAGATTATTGTTTTCCTTTGGCTTGTTTTCCAGTATGGTGAATTCTAAAACCTTGTTACATTGACTTTTGCTATGGCAAACACTATTTCATGTTATTTTCCCATGAATTTTTTCTCAAATTTATTGATAAGTAGAAGTATAAGCAGTGTTTATTATTTAATTTATTTATAAATGAGAAGTCAAAGCCCACTTAAAAAATTTTAGGAATTTTTTTTTAAGCATAAAAGCCTTAGAGGCAAGAGAAGAAAAGAAACTTCCAGATGAAATTGTTGTTGTTGTTGTCACTGGTAAACAGTTATGAGGCATCATATATATTAAGAATAGAGAAAAAGCTTAAAACTAAGAAGCTATATTATGTATTGAAAAATAAGGGCAACCAGTTCCTTTATTTTAGTCATCTTTACCTTTGGCATGTTTCTGTATCTGAATCAATCATGCTACAACCTTTAAAGGTTATTAAACACCATTAAAATGAAAAATTGGTGCACTACAATCTGCTCATCTTGCATACATAGATTTGACACTAAAGAAATAGCAATTTAATTCAAGAAGACTTATTATGATCTGCTAAGCAAAAGCACCGTGCTTGGTACTGCAAAGGAGGCAAATGATAAAAACAGTGGAGTTTTTTGTTCTCGTGGATCCTACTTTACATTCTGGTACAGAAACTAAGACATATAATAATGCAATAATAAAATGTAAAATACATTAGAGAAGTGGTTTTCAAGCTTCAGGATGCATTGCAGTCATCTAGTAGGCTAGTTTGAAAACAGATTGCTGGGCACCATACCCAGAGTTTCTGACTCAGTAGGTCTAAGGTGTGGCCTGAGAATGTGCATTTCTAACAGATGCCCAAATAACACTGATGTTGCTGTCCAGGGATCACACCTTGAGAATCACTGCAATAGAGGTTTGAAGAGCTTTGAGAGTTCATAAGAGAGAGAACACAATCCTGACCATGGACTTAGGGAACCCTTTATAGAGAAGTTAAAATTTGAGCTGAGACTTGAAAGATGAATACAATTTTGATGAACAAACATATGAAAGGACATTCTAGCAGAGACCAGCTTGAGCAAAGCTCCAAGGGAGGAAAGTATCTTTTTGAGGAATAATGAATAGATAATTTTAAACATGGGTTAATGTTGTAGGTGTCTCTGTGTTGTGTGTATTTTAAGATTTTATTTATTTGAGAGAGACAGCACAACCAGGAGGACAGGGAAAGGCAAAGGGAGAGGGAGAAGCAGATTCCTCTCTAAGCAGGGAGCCTGACATGGAGTTTGATCAAGGACCCTGAGATCAGGACCTGAGCTAAAAGCAGACACTTAACCAACTGAGCTACCCAGGTATCCCTGTAGGAGATATTTGAAATGTACCTTAAAGCCAGACTGTGGAGGACGTTAGATGCTAAAAACCTAAGCTTTACTCAGCAGTCAGATGTTTCCCAAACTTGCCTGATCATAAGAAACATGGATAATATATTAAATATAAAAATTTCTAGACCTTACCTAAGGGCTACTGATTCAGAATTGCCAAGTGGAGGGGCGTTATAACAAGATTCCCAGTTACTCTTTATTATCAGGCCAGTTTTGGAAACATATGATATGGTTAAGTTCATTTCCTAAGTAATCAAAACAAATGGCAAATTAACATAGACATGCCTTATTTTGTGCAAGTGTTTACCTGGAAAATTAGATGTAGTAGTCCTTAAGAAGTGGACTAACCACTTAAAGGAGTCCAGTCACTGGATATTCTTACCATAAGTGAATAACCCTACAGTTTTCCATTTTGTAACCCGTTTCTAATATATAATAAACCATATAACAAATCTTTGTTGGGTTCAATTTTTCAATTTTTTTTTCAGTCAAAAAAGTACTTAATAGACTGTATTTTTCCCACCTCTAATGTAGCATATAGGCACCTACCTCACAGGTATGGAGTGAGAATGAGTAAGCCACTGCATAGGAAGCTCTTAGTTTAGGGACTGATGCATAATATGTGCTCAAAAATGGTAGTTGTACTAAAAAACCCTCTCCTTAGCAGTACTATAACTGATCAGAGGGGTGAAATAATACAATACAGAGCGTCTCCAACTTAACAGTTGATTTCAACTTTGTGATAGTATGAAAATGATATGCATTCAGTGGAAAGAAACCATATTTCGATTGTGAGTTTTTACCTTACTCAAGCCAGTGATCTGCATAGGATACTCTGTTGCCATGTTTATTTTTCAGTCCAAGGAGGTAATGTTTATTCTTCAGTCCAAGGAGGTAATTCACAGTCAGCTGTTAGAGAAACAGAAAATAGCAGAAGAAAAAATTAAAGAACTAGAACAGAAAAAATCCTACCTGGAGCGGAGTGTGAAGGAAGCTGAGGACAACATCCGGGAGATGCTGATGGCACAAAGGGCACAGTAAGGAAATCTCCAGCCGAAGCTTCCTGCCCCCTCCCATTCCTGGCAAGGACAGGTGGGGGGCCCACGTGGAGAAACTTCTCTTCTGCCCGGGTGGACTTTTTATTTGGATGATCTCATAACCCTGTGTTTTCTACTTCACCATGATACCCTTTCAGACCCCAGTTCTGTATTTTTTATCCTGGCTCTGTCTGCCACCCCTGTCCAGAACACTTTTCTCACTGGGGGTGAGTCACAAACTCTCAGGAGAGGGAGATGGGAGCCATACAGATAGGGGAGCTCTGCCCAAGCCTATGAACTAGTTATGCTCCTTAGATCAATAAAAGGCATGTGTTCCCCCCCCCCGCCAAAAAAAAAATACTTATGTCAGCCACAGGACCATGAAGATAGACAACCTATACACTGACAACATTCTGTACCCATACAGCCAATCTGTTTTTTACTTTCAGTACAGTATTCAATAAAGTACATGAAATATTCAACACTTTATTATAAAATAGGCTTTGTGTGAGATGATTTTGCCCAACTATAGGATAATGTAATTGTTTTGAGCATGTTTAAGGTAGGCTAGTCTAAACTATGATGTTCAGTAGGTTGAGTGTATTAAATACATTTTTGGCTTAACGATATTTTCAACTTACATTAGGTTTATTAAGATATAACCTCATCATAAGCGTAAGTCAAGGAAAATGTTTCCTTGCAAATCACATTTGAATTATTACTGCAATTCAAGTTGCATAGGACTTGACAAATGAACTCTCTGACTTTCCATATATATATCATCCATAGAAACATTTTCTTTTAGACCTCCCTCCTACATATACTTCCTCATGCTTTCAGATAGATTCCTCTATCTCTGTCCCCTGTTCAAAAGCACTCTTAGTTGTTTTATGGTAGAGCATATAAATCTATTTTAATATTACCTTAGGTAAAATATAATTAGAAAATAAATCTTTTGCAAATTGTGTTATAATGCATTCTAAAGCCAAATAGAAATGATTGCTGAATTATTCACTCTTTTAGGTTTTAGCACAGTTGGATCCTTAGTAGAGTCACACAAAGTATCTCTTTTTATCATGACCCCATTTCTAGAAAACACCCTTATCAAGGACAATAGGGAACCACTCCTTGAGGACGTGTAGCCTAGGGCTTACAAAGCTAATACTTAACTGTGACATCTTAGATCATACCAGGTGTCTATATTTAAGAACATCTACTTTTGTGGGAATAGAGAAGACACCAGTGAGGAGAAAGTTAGGGCAAAGAGAAGTAAACCAAACTAAGCTTAGAATTAAGTAAGTAAGCTAAGAATATCATTGTGGATTTTGGTTAGTAGAACAAATAAAACAAAAGGAAGGAAAACCTGGCTCTTTTTGTCTTCTAGCTTGTCAATTCCTGGCTGCTGCTACTTCCAGGCCTTGCCCCTCAGTATCAGATCCAAAGACCGGTAATAGAAGAAACTCCTTGGAGCTGGTGTTAGAAGTTCTCAGGCCTCACTCCAGACCTTCTGAGTCATAATCTGCATTTTGACAAGGTCCCTGTCTGCATTACATGTATGTTAAACTGTGAGAAGCACTTTTTTAAGGTAGAAAGGAAAGGAGGCAATACCAGGATTTTTAAGAGAATCCATTCCAGAAGACAAGTATAAGAGTAATGATGATTACTTGATTTTCTGCACATATATTTCCTATTTTAAATGTAATATGGTGATATCGCTCTTCTTTAATTGCCTTTCAGTATAGGTTGTTTTCCTCACCAACTGTGTAAATTATCTTTATAATTCCCATGCATCAACTGGGTGTTTTTTTATGTAGCTTGAGAGGCATTTAGATGCTCTATTGAGTTTTGTTTTAATTAACATAATAAAAGCCGATAATTCAAAAGAGCAATCTTTGTCTTGCTTATTTTCACATTTCAATTCGGAAACCTTTCCCTAAACTAACATATACCTTAAAACTCCCTACATACTTCAGCAAAACAGAGTGAAACAAAACAAAACAAAACAAAATAGTATTCTGAAAGATTTAGAAAAATGTGCATAAACCTGCACTCACGTATGTTGTAACTATAATTTTTTTTAAATCAAAAAAGGAATGAAAATCCAGCCAACATTGCATTTTACCCCCTGAGGGATATCCTTTTGACAGTAGGTGGCTTCAATCTTTTAGAAAGTAGAAACATGATAAAGTCACCATTTTGGGTTTTATTTGCCTGTTTCTGTATTAATCAGTTTGGAAATGTAAATCTTTTACCCTTTACAACTTAAAATTTTTTTTTAAATCTAAACCAGTTTTACTACAGTGTTTTTTTTTATGTCAAGTTTATTAAAACTTTAGCAGTACAAATTATTCAGGTTGCAAGTTATCTAAAGATCAACCAGGTG